CTTTGGCTATTATCTTCGTTGGGAGAGGTTTTGGCTAAATCACACGTGTTTCATGTTTCCTAAATCAAACAAACTTGACATGTGCGAGTTATACACACATGACATGTGATATATTTGTGCCTCTCAAACTTTTGTACACTTTGGTCAGTATTTATACTGTCAGAATATATATGTATGTATATATATATATATATATATATATATATATATATATATATATATATATATATATATATATATATATATATATATATATATATATATATATGTATATGACTCGTGGCCTCTCCTTCCCCTACAGGATATGTTCCCCGAGAGCGGCGTGGTCCCCGGGGGCGCGCAGCCCCTGAAGGACTGGCACAACCTGACGCAGGAGCGGCAGGACCGCCTGCGGAGTGGTCCGGGCGAGCACGGGGCGCCGCACCACCTCGCCGCCGGACGCGAGAAAGAGAGGGATGCTCTGTTCGAGACCAACGGCTTCAACGCCCTCCTCAGCGACGACCTCGCCCTCGACCGATCCCTCAAGGACATCAGGCACCCCAAGTGAGTGAGGCGGAAGGGCAAGGGAGGGCAAGAGAGGGCAAGGGAGGGCAAGAGAGGGCAAGGGAAGGCAAGGGAGGGCAAGAGAGGGCAAGGGAGGGCAAGAGAGGGCAAGGGAGGGCAAGGGAGGGCAAGAGAGGGCAAGGGAGGGCAAGGGAGGGCAAGAGAGGGCAAGGGAGAACAGGGCAGGGCAGGGATGCAGTGGAAAAAGTGTCCGGGGGAGGGGGGGAGGGGAGGGGGTCCGGACTGGGGTGGAGAGAGACACTGAGGACTGCATGGTGAAAGGGAAAGAAAAATAAGGCCTGGAACGGACGGAGACGGTAACGGGAGGGAGGGAGGTGGGGGGGGGAGGAGGGGAAATGCCGGCACGGAAAGCCAAGAGGTCATTCCCTTCCGTCCCCGTTTCCTCAGAAGCAAAATGATTCATTAATTTTTCTGTCGAATTTGCTGACAAGATTTCTCATTGATTTAAGTCTTCTTTAAGGCAGTTCGCTGTCGAGGAATTTCACATCTACATGCTTGCTGCGGCGAAGAAGTTATTAACACTAATAGTTTCATTTAAGTAGCAAATCTCTCATTCTGTACTTTACAGAACCGCTGTTATATTCATGAATACAACGTAATGCCAGAATAGATTCAACTATCTTGTCTAGTAAGAAAGATAGTAACAATGAAATTAAAAATGGAGTAAATAATTGGGGAAATAATATGACAAAACGGAGGATAATGTAAGGATTGCGAAGTGTGGGAAAAGAAAAATGAAACTAAATCTCGTTTCCAGGAACAAACGAGATTTTCTTGGTCTCGAAAATGTCTATGATCGTCAGTTCGTATTGATCCCTCGTGGGTCCCTTCGGCGCCGCCACGAACCGCTCCTCGCGAGCAGGAGGCCGGGCACTCGCAAGGGCGGGGCATAACTAAGGGCTCTGAACGAGAAGGTCAGAGGGAAACAACTTTCAGGCGAAAGTTACTGCGGAAAGACGGTAGCAAAAGGGTTGGCTGGGAGGATTTTAACGAAAATATATTACGAAGGTCTTTCGCGAAAGTACTGTAACGAAAGGATTGCCCGGAGCCAATGCTTTCTAAAAGATGTCATGGAAGGATTAGGAAGGATTTCAGCGAGATTCTGCTGCAAGGAATTTAGTTATAAAGCGACTACAGCGGAAGGGCTGAATGAATTTAGCGAGAGGATTTTAATGAAAGAATTTTAATGAAAGGTTAAAATGCAATACTTTTAGAGAAGTAATTAGCGAAACCATTGCAACGAAAATATTTTAGCGTAAGGATTAAAACGAGTGGTGGAGCGTCAGGATGAACGGGAGTGCTTCCGAGCTGTAAGCCCGGTTTCTGACTTAGAGCGAGCAAATATTGATTAAGAAACTTTTCGCATTTGAAGACGTGGTGCATTGTGTCAAGAATAAAAAGATATTTATTGCAAAGTTTAACAAGTCATGACATGTTGCACTCAAATGTATAGACTATTTTGAGCTGTACTTGAATGTTTTTCTATTTATAGTTCGCATGATCGAAAGAATTTGTGAAATATAGAATGTACACTACATTTACATTTTTAAAAAATTGTAATGCTAAGTCAAAAATCACAGTGATCGCCAAGAAACGTGGCCAGGCCTTTTCGAAGTTGTCAGCTCAGAATCCCGACGCAGACCCGACACTGACGTGAAGCAAATATTTGCCGAACTACTCACAGGCTCCCCGTAATCTCGCACCTCCTTTTTTTCTCTTTTAACGCTTTGAATTCGATGGGAAATCGCTCCGAATTTACAGAGCGTCAAAGCGGCTTAATTGGAGGTAAACAGAGCGCGTAAAGAACCCGCAGATGGGCCTTATCAGTGCCCTCCCGGCGGGGTCTAATTCGGGTGGGCAGGGGCCCTCCCCCCTCCCCTGCTGCCCCATAAAGGTAAACGCTAATACTGATTACATAGATATATACTAATGCACTTTCATACAAACGCGCAGACACACCTATATGTGCACACACACACACACACTCACGCACAAATAAATGCATGCATATATGTTTATACACACACACATACACACACACGCACAAATAAATGCATGCATATATGTTTACACACACACACACACACACACACACACACACACACACACACACACACACACACACACACACATACGGAGAGGAAACCAGCTCTGCCGACGGGACAGCAAGAGGAGAGTAAATAGGCGGAATGACATGTGTGACGAGATATGCACGTGTCTAAAGGAATCACATATGAAATAGTAGAAAGTATGAAAATCACATTATGAGGGTATTTTATAGAATATAAGAGTGAAAAAGAGAGGAAGAGAGAAAGATGGAGACAGAGACGAAGAGGGAAGGAGGGAAGAAGAAGGAGAAAAAAATAAAAGGGAAAGAAAAATTGATTTATGTATATTTATACACGTGCATTAAATTATATGCACCTCCGCCCCTCTGTGAACACACTTGTGGCGTCGTCTCCCTTGGGGGCCATTGGTCTCCACTCCATAAATGTGTGGACATTTATACATACCTTCATTTATATGTGTATATATATATATATATATATATATATATATATATATATATATATATATATATATATATATGTATGTGTGTATGTATGTATATATATATATGTGTATGTGTGTGTGTGTGTGTGTGTGTGTGTGTGTGTGTGTGTGTGTGTGTGTGTGTGTGTGTGTGTGTGTGTGTGTGTACATGTATGTATGTATGTATGTGTGTGTACTCTTTCCGTGTAGCTGGTCGCACGGCAGCTCAAAACCGACTTTATAAGTAAGGTCTCGTCGCTTGAGAGTTTTGTGTGGATTGGGCTGGTAAGGCCTATGACGTCACCTGGGTTGGCTGAGAATGGGGCGTGGGAAATTAGAGGCCAGGGGGGAGCTTGAGTGATGGAGATAGTAGGAAATGGGAGCTAAATGACCAAAAACTAAAGTATTTTTAGACTCTGGCTTATGCCAATGATTTGCAAATTGGTCTGATTTTAGAAGTGGTGATTAACAGCAGTTGTCTGTAGGTGTATATCGCATATTAGGGTTGCAATTTAAAATTTCGTCATGCTCTTGCTTAGATATGTCACAAGGAAGAAGTAAAATGAGCAGAGAAGACATGAAATATGAATAATGATATTTTATTTAATCAAGGTATATTGTTAAATCCAGATTCTGCAAACGATTGTTTTATAAACACGTATCATACAACTAAGGCATCAAGCACACAACGTATATAAACAACATAGAATTAAAGACATGTAACACTAAGTGAGTAAATGCACAGAAAGAATACAACTGGCAGATGCACTAGCTTTACACCAGTCACGCGCGGATTCGGGAGAAGAGGGAGATCTTAACAGGGTTACGTTTCATCCAAGACTGACTGCGGAATTAGCGTCGAAATCCCAAGTGGCACGAGAGTCTGAGTAGGTCTGTGACGAGACCACGCTCTCGCCAACGCCGCTCTGCCAGCCTCTTCCGACCGAACACTTCTGTAATTTTTTTTTTGTATCGACATCGTGGTCTTCTCTGCCTCTTTCTTGGGGTATATGCCTCCTACACCTTTCTCTCCAGACCGTTGTGACGTTTAAGTGTCCAAAATACGACAACTGCTTCTCTATGTAGCGCAGTAGCTAGTAACTCATTATCCTTATACCGGCTCGTTTGCTTTCATTGGTTCGCCGTTGAACCCAAGATAAGAAGATCCAAGGTATTTTCTTATCAAAGTCCGTTACTCTTCTGATTTGCGAAGCACCCAGGTCTCATATACGTGGCTATTATAAATGCACACGTCGTAAAGTGTGTAATTATGTCTGCTTCTCCAGCTTCACCTAGCAGTGCTCCTCCAACACGAAGATTCATAACTGAATGCTCATCTTTCATCACTTCACGTATGATGTTCTCCACATAGATGTTAAACAGTGCAAGGATGAGTATACAGTCCTGTCTTCACTCATACCTCATTTAAACCTGGCTGCTGATTAACTGTATTATATGTGGTAGGAAGCTCATCTGCAGCAAAACAGGCTCCAGTATCTCATACCTGGCAATGCTGAAGGCTTGTGAATACTCGACAAACCATAGTAACAAATCCTGCTGTAGTTCATGTTATTTACGTGCAAGCATATATATGTTAAGTATATGGTCTCGTGTGCCATGCTGCCCCATGTACCCTGTTTGAGCAACACAATCGTTTCCTTTAGCCTTCCCACCATTCTGCCCAGTTTGCAGCATGATATCATTTACATGATGGATAAGTGATGCTGTTCTATAGTTCTAACTTGGTTGTGAATCTCTGTTTTGGGTATTTTGCTCAAACACCAATCTAAGGGCCATTCTGCGTGTCTACCATATTTAATTACACCTATTGTACACCTCCAGTCAACTTGAGTTCACAGCATCCTGGTGATAAGTATTTCAATAACTTGCTCAATGTCTGATCGTCATGAAGTCGGATCGCTGTCCTCTGCTCCTTCATTGCCCAAGTCTTGCACGTAGTCGGTCTTGTGATCCTCGGTGTAGAGCCTGATGCAGTACTCGCGTAACGCCCAGCAATGTTAGTTCACCACTGCTTTCATGACTTTAGTCTGGATGCAACTTTCTAGTCAGTTGTTCCATGTCTCTATGCATGAACTTAATGTTGCCTGCTTAATGAGCTGCTATGCCGATGCACTGTTCTAGGAGATACTGTTTTTTTTTCTCCTTCCAACATATGCACTGCAATGCGCTGTGCCATATAGTATTCCATGTTTGCAATGTTGGTAGCCCCCTGCCATGTTCAAATCGATTCCTATGAAAGTGGTATTTGATCTGCATTAAATCTCATCACAGGCTGAGGCGAATCTGGTCTTCAGTTTACAGCACATGGGAATGCACAACAGCTCATCAGACCCACAACCAACCTCTTGGAATGTGTGTGTATTTCTCACACATATTCTTTTGCTTTTCAAAACCAGAATGTTGTCAGTCTGGTTGCGGGTTACTCTGTCCGGAGCTGACCATGCACAGAACCACGGTTTGTGCTGCTCAAAGATCGTGTTACATATAATGAGTTAATTCTCAGCTGCAAATGAAAGTTTTCCTCGCTCATTTCGGTATCCTCGTCCGTAAAGTGTGGTTTCTTCTCCATGAGACCTTCGCGTTTTTTCTAATGTACCTTCTGTAGTTTCATCTGTCGTAGTTGCTGGCGCACAAACCTTTATGACCGTGATGTTTGTTGGTCTTCCATACAGTCTAATAGGAATATTACTAATAGGATACAATCGTATTAAAGTCTATTCACTTGGCTATAATAGATAGAATCTAGAAACAAGATTGTTCGTTGGTGTGTGAGTGTGTGTACATACACACACACATACACACATATATACATATACGATGTATCATAATTTCCATGACTAAATATTTAAACATTATCATAAAAAGTGTAGTTTTTAAAGAAAGTGAAATTTCATTGTAAAGTTTATGAAAAGATGAGCGCCGCTCGAAGTAATCATGGACATGCAGGTGTTCTCAATCAACAAGGTCACTATGATCATAAAATGCAATAGGGTCAGCGGTACAAACTCATTCTGTAAATATTTGTAAACTGTTGATCTTTATTCTGTACGTAATTAGTAATTGTCTTTTCCTTTAGCTTTGTAGATTATTTGTGTCCGACATAATTTTAGATATTGCGAAGTGAAGGATTTGCGTCTGTGGCATTTCTGTTGCTTTTATCTGTGACTGCATGCATTGCATGCCTGTTCGTCTCATAAGTTCATTAAAGGCAGGAAACTAGAGCGCAGCGTCTGATCCAGAGTGAAAAGGTCCTCGTGGCTTCCCCATACCCAAAGAGAAAGGAAAATAACATGACTAACACGAAAGCAACAACAACTATACCTTCATAAATGAAGGTATAATTAACATGTCTAAAAGTGTTCTCAGACCAAAAGCTCCTAAATACGTTTATCAGATGTTTTGTTTATCTTTAACTTAAACATCAGTTTGTTCACGGTAATGCACGACACACACTCAAAGTCGCACATGTGCCTCGCAGACACGTAGCATCCATAGAAAGGCCACCTTCGGGACGGATTAATCAATACCGAGGAATATTTGATGAGTGACGCTAAAATTACATACCTGTTACCAGCCACTCCCACGCACACACGGAGGGGAGGGGGCTTGGTTCCCCACTTCGCATAACACGATATTGGAATTTACCTGTGAGAGCACGCGACCTCCCCCTCCACCATATCCCCCTCTCCCTCTTCCTGCCCCCACATAAGTTTTCTATTTAAAGGCTTTTCTCATTTTACCCTTTGTTAGAAGTTTCTATTTTGCCGCTGTTTATTTGTTGTTGAATTATAGTTTTTTACATTTGCTATGTCTGTGAAAACGAAGACGATAATATAGATAAGATGTAGTTTGAATGTTGTTTTCTTTCGTTTTGTTTTATTATCCTTCGCATCGTTATCGTTTTTTAATTTGATTATGATTATTCTTGTGATGGCACTGACTTTGATTTTATGGGCATTATTAATTCATTATCACTACTTTACAGTTTATCATTATTATTAAAATAGTGCTATTAACATTTATACTGTTACTTTCATTATTATGATGACCACTATATTATTATTGTTGCGGTTGTTGGTATCTCATCTTTCGCCCTGTCAATTATTTTGCAGTTATGGTTGTTGATCTCTACCTGATATGAAAGATGCACTCACATACAGTTCGTCCTGAGTCCCATAATCATTTTCCTATATGGCTCAGCCCCCGATCTATTTTATCTTATCAGAGCTCTTATCTAATCTCTCATGCATTTTTAAACTATCGTCTCTCAAAGGCTCCCTTACCTAGGCCTCTATTTGGCCTCCTATCTGGGCTATCATTCACTCAAACTCTTGTGTATTTACGAGGTTACTTAACCTCTTTCGCATTTATTCATCGCGTCCATTGACGAAGCCTCTCGACCCTTTCGTAACCTGTGCCTTGTCATCTGTTCATTGCTTATTCTGCTTCCTCTTCTCTCATTTCCGCCCTTCCTCGGCTCGTTCGTCGGCCTCCAGCTCCTCCATAAATCGACGTCTCCATTTACCAGTCCGTCCGTCCCTTCTTCTCCTAGCAACCTTTTCCGTTACCTCACCTATCCTCTGACCTAACCTAACCGCCTACGCCCGTAAGACATCCTAACCTTCTGACCTGAGCTAACTTACCTGCGTGACATCCCCTGGTCCCCTGCTACAACCTCCTGCCTCACCTGGCTTATTCTCTTGACCTCCCCTACTCCTCCCGCCGCTGCCCTGCTAAAGCCTCCTAACCACCCCTGCTTAGCTTCCTGGCCTAATCTTCTGCTGCTCTGCCACAACTTCCGACGCAACCAGCCTTCTCGTTGCGGGCCAGCCCTCGTCCTCTCCGGTGACACTCGACCGCCTCTCTCCCCGTTTCCCTGACCACTGACGTTTCCTTCTGCGTGCCTCCCGCAGGTGCCAGGAGAAGCGTTACGCCGCGTCCCTGCCGACGGTGAGCGTGGTGATCCCGTTCTTCGAGGAGCACTGGACGACGCTGCTGCGGACGGTCGTGTCGGTGGCCAACCGCTCGCCCAAGCATCTGCTTAAACAGATCATCCTCGTTGACGACGGCAGCACCATGAAAGGTGGGCCTCTCGTTATTGTTACGCATACTATCATTGCAGGTATTTATTATTCTGTTTTCTAGCATATTCCATTGGGGATTGTCAGCTTTCATATTTCATTTTTCGTGTTTTACTCTTTGTTTCTTATGTAAATGCTCCTTCTCACTTTTGTTTTGATATAGAGACATGTATTAGCCATTGAGAAAAGAAACAGAAAAATAGAGGAGTAATCGCAGAAATACAGAGTTCACTGAAAGCTGCCGTCGTGAAGGTACACAAACCAGGCTCTCCCTGCCCCTCCCTCCCCACAATCATTCTCGAAACGCCTGTAAATCCCCCTCCACTTTCTGCATTCTTCGCACTGCCTGTAGGACGCCCCCTCTCTCCGCAGCGTTTCTGAAGGAGCCGCTGGAAACGTGGCTTGCGGAGCATGTGCCGATCGCGCAGGTGGTGCGCCTCCCGGAGCGCCGCGGCCTTATCACGGCGCGGCAGGAGGGCGCCAAGAAGGCCACGGCCGATGTCATCGTCGTCCTGGACTCCCACTGCGAAGTCATGATCAACTGGCTTCCGCCCCTGCTTGGTGAGTCCCCTTTGACCTGGGTTTCTGACGCCCTTTGACCTTTTGTTCGCTTGTAAGGCGCGTTCCCCTTTCTGGTTGACCCCTTTCAAGGGCCTCCTTTCTCTGCCCCTTTTCGAGAGCCATTTCTCACCCCATGTTCCTCGCAGTGCCATGGCCTTCCTCTTCACCCCTCCCTTAACCCAGGTCTCCTCCCTTAGAGAAGGCATTTCGAGAAGCCCTTAACCCCTTACCTCACCCCACCGCCTCGCCCTAATCCTCCGGTTCCCTTCCCTGCAGACCTCTTTCTGCTCACCCTCTCCTCTTTTTGCCTTCTACTTCTTACCCCCCCCCCCCTTGCAGAGGCCTTCTCCTTCCCGACATCCCAACCTCCGTCTGCTCCTCACGAGCAGACGGAGGTTGCCCTCCCCCTCCTCATACTCTCACCCTACCGCCTTGTCTTACACCCTACCCCCATCGCAGGCCCTTTCCCCCTCCTTCTCCTCCAGTGCCGCCCCTTACCCTCTCCCCATCCCACGCCCGACCCTAAGTCCTCGTGTCCCCCTTGCAGACCCCATCGTCAGGAACCCCCGCACGGCCGTGTGCCCTTTGATCGACGTCATCAACAAGGACACGTTCGCGTACTCGGCGCAGGACAACGGCGGCCGCGGGGCCTTCGACTGGAGGCTTTACTACAAGCGCCTGCCGCTTCCGCCCGAGGACGAGGCGCGGCTGCCCGAGCCCTTCGAGTAGGTGGGGGTATAAATGTAGGAGGGAGGGAGAGAGGAAGGGAGGGAGGGAGGGAGGGAGGGAGGGAGGGAGGGAGGGAGGGAGGGATGAAGGAAGGAAGGAAGAGAGAAAGAAAGAAAGAAAGAAAGAGAAAGAGAGAGAGGGGAGAAGGGAAAAGGAGAGACAGAGGAAGGGAGAGTGGGAGAGGGAGAGGGAGATTCAGATTCATATAATTTACTTGGCAAAATATATACAAGTATGAATTACATAAAAACACATTAAGGTACAATGGCTGGACAACTTGAGAGTAAACTCTCCTCAGATGCCCCGTGGAAGCTGTTCATACACACACACACTAAATTTATGTCAAATAAACTACAAAACAAAAGAATGTATAAAGAAATAATACGAATATGGAACATACGAAAGTTACTCGAGAAAGAAAAGCAAGACTCTCTCTCTCTCTCTGCCTCCAGGCTAGTACAGTGGTAACGTGTCGGCTTCTCATCCGAGGAGTCGGCGGTTCGCGCCCCGCC